GCAAAGATTCATAGAGAGGACTGGGGGTGGAAACCTGCACAGCTCCTATTTGCTCTAGCCCAGAGGTGGGCAAACTACAGCCTGCGGGACCCTCCTTCCCGGCCCCTGAGCTCCTGGCTGGGCAGGCTAGCCCCTAGCCCCTCCCCCGCTGTCCCCCCACCCCCGCAGCTTCAGTGCGCCACGCCACCGGCACAACGCTCTGGGCAGCCGGGCAGCGCAGTTGCAGAGCCCGTGGCCTGACCTGGTGCTCTGGGTGGTGCGGTAAGGGGGCAGGGAGCAGGGGGGGGTTGGATAGAGGGCAGGGGAGTTTGGGGGTGTGGTCAGGGGGTAGGAGTGTGGCTAGGGGTCAGGGCGGTCAGAGGGCGGGGAACAGGGGGGTTGGATGGGGCAGGGGTCCTGGGGGGGGCAGTCAGGAATGGGAGGGGCGGTTGGATGGGGCGGCAGGGTGCAGTCAGGGGTGGGGGATCCAAGGGTGTTCAGAGGGCAGGGAGCAGTGGATGGGGCAGGAGTCCCGGGGGGGCCAGCAGGGGGCGAGAAGCGGGGGTGGGGGGTCGGATGGGAGGTGGGGGCCAGGCCACGCCAGGCTGTTTGGGGAGACACAGCCTCCCCTAACCAGCCCTCCATACAATTTTGGAAACCCGATGTGCCCCTCAGGCCAAAAAGTTTGCCCACCCCTGCTCTAGCCAGTGCCTGTAGTCCATCATTTCTGTGAATACTACATTCACTCAGAACGTTTGAAACAAAACGATGGTTTTCTTGGCTTTCCTGGCACATACAATGTCCTTGCCAACCTGGGCTTTTGAAAATAAAGCACACAGTGTGTAGGGACTGGGTGACTGTGGAGACTGGCAATAGCTTGCAGCAACCTTTAGGTCATCAGTCCAAAATTGACCAAGGGCAATAGTTCCAGAAAGACCTTCCCATCTAGTGACTGTGTGGCCTGGATGCAATGAGTCTTAATCCACTTCCCCAGAGGACTAATTGGTCTCCTTGTTGAAAGCGCACTTCCAGAGCAGGGTTGATGCACACTGGCAAGAACACAGCGGGGGTAGCTTGCACAGCCATTGTCTGTCCTGTGGATAAACAGAAGTCTGAAACCCCCAAGTCTGCCCCACTCAATTTTGCTTAAAATATAAATTATCTTTGTGAAACCCCCCAGTTAGAGGAATGCAAAAATATATCCAAAAATCTCCAGTTCCTTCTTTCTCCAGCCGCAGAGTTCAAAAATAAGCAAAAGGATTTCTTCACATTCAGTAAATAAAAATACACATAGCTATGTGGCTCAGACCTGTCATGTCAAGCACTAGCCAGGAGCAGATGTTCATGGCAGAGTTAGAAACCCCTTTAAATTAAGGACTTATAATTGCTGCACTGATAGACAATTATAGTGATGCTATCAGGCGCCGCTATAATTAGAAAACACTAGAGGTCAGTTGTTTTTTTGCAAGTGCATTTTGACACAGTGGCAAACAAGAGCTGGATGTCAACAGCAACAACGTAGCAGAGGAGAGGGGGATAACACAGCATAAGGATGTCACCATGTGATCTGAACAGAGTCAAGTGACCAAACCCCTGAGCAGAGGATGTAGTGCAGAGACAGGCAGCTGGATTCTTATGCAGCCTGAGGGCTGTCAGCAGCAGCCAGGAGGCCACTACCCCAAGAAGCTGTGAATTTGTAAACTTGAGGGACCTGTGGCAATGGGTTCGGCAGAACCTAAGCACCAGTCCAGTGTCAACTCCTGAGCACACACAGCTTCTGTGGCCTACAGCAGGAACTGTGGGTGCTCAGCATCTCTGACAACCAGGGCATTACTATATAAACATCAGTGCAATTGGAGATCAGCCCTCTGATTTCTGAGTCCCCTAGCCCCCTGTAACCAGCACACTGGAGTTAAGAGCCCTACCCTTACGACATTCCCCCTAGTATCAGTCTGAACCAGAAGAGCCCTACCTTCTGAATCACCAGCACCTCTGTCCATAACTTGAAGGTGTCCCCTCCAAGAACCAACACAGGCTAATGCTGTTCCAGCACAACATACCATGGTAAGAATACAGAACCCAGAGGGCAGACTGTATCTACCTGTGGTAGCTTCAAGAGGTTTGTCTGCAGGGATAAGAGCTTTGCCCTGACCTTCTGCTGTGTGTGGCATGACACCATCTAGGAGGTCTGAGATAGGTCTTTGCTTTTTTCCCATGTCAAGCCTTCACATACCCACAGTTCAGTCTCTTTGCTCTGAAGCTGCCTATTCCATAGAGCTAATACAAGAAGACGTAATCTACATCAGAAGGAGGAAAAACTGCACAAACTCAGCAAGTTTCTCTTTCTAATTGGCACCATATATTATACCAATAACTTCACCAGTGCATGATCTTTTCCCCTCTGCCGGCTGACGTCCTGAGCATTTGATCCCTGCAGACGCCAGCTGGCCGGATGAAAAAGAAAATCATGCCCTGACAAAGTTATTGCAGTAATGTACAGTGCCTGCACCAACAAGGGAAGAAACGTGTTGTATTCGTTCAGTCTGCCTGCTTTTGATGTGAGATAACATCTTCCCATAAGGGAGCAAACCAACAGAGAGGACAAAGTCATTCTGGTTCACCCAGGCTGACTTCTCAGACATTCATTCAGAGAGGGCCTCACATGGCCATAGGACTCAAGCTGGGACATTTCTTAATGGCAACATTTCAACCCCATTGTTATCCATCTCATTAAGGCTGAATGTTTCTAATTCTGAACTGGCCAGGCACAATGGAGGAAGGCAATCCACATGTGCTGTATAGGATGTGATGGCACCACTTGGCACCCCAATGTCTAGCACTGACTGTTGCTGGGGGTTATTCCATTAGAAGTTGGAACCAGAAACGCTCCCCAATTCACACCTGAATAAATATGATTCCAAAAATGTGAATGTTACAGTCTCAGTTTCACCCATCCCCCTCTGATTGGCCATCCTCCCTTCCAAGACTTAGTGATACCCCTCACCCTGTCAACTCTTACTTATTATCTGGCTCCATCTGGCTAAACTGTTCCAAGAGCCAGAGTCCATCCATCCATGAGATCTGTCCTCAGAAACCCCCTTGCTGCCATACCACCAGTCACATAGAAAAGCAGTAAGGGCCAAATACAACTTCAGTTTGTACGCACAGCTCCCACCAACATCCCTGGACATTCTGCTACAGCGCAAGGGCAGCGAATAGCCCATAGACTGTGATGCTTTCACGTAATCCTTGCAGATTGTAACAGCCCTACTCCCAAAAGGCCAACAGGAATTTCACCACTGGTTTCAGTGGGAGCAAATTCAGACCTTAAAACCACAAGAAACTCTTTCAACTTAAATGGCCAAATTACCTCTTTTGCATTTTTTCATTCCAAACAGTTCGGCTTTTATTCTCTTGCAGACTTTCAAGGCCTGATCTTGCTATGATTGAAGTGGATGGGAGTTTTGCTATTGACTTTAATAGCAGCAGGATTGGACCCTACACATAGATCATCCATACCACAGTCACAATCAAGTCAGGGGATCAAGTTACAACACAATTTCAATGTATAGGTTTGACAGTACCTTAACCAGTATCTAAAGCCTTAGATTTGACTAGGCATATACCAATGACATTTTAAGGCAAGGAAATTACACTGTATAAAGTTATACACATGCCATATCCTGCCACAGAGAGTACCCCAATCCCAAACACCAATATCCATTTTTACTGAAAGTTTTTTTATTATGTGCTGGAGAACAGCATGACAACATTGATAATAACAATTCAAAACCTTGCTAGGAGTGCATTTGATGCAGGAGTCAGAAAGCCTTGTAATAAACCTTAGTAGGAAGTAGAGTATTTTGTGGTGCAGGTTGCTACAAAACAACAACAACAGCCTTAGGAAGTCTTTGCATCCTTTTGCTTTCAAAGCAAAACAAAGTCACCCTCTTTTTTTGAGAAGGTGCTTTTTGGCCCAAAGCTCAGCAGAAGGCCTGACAGAGTCAACAATTCCCCTGCTAGACACAGGGAGGGAGGGAGGGAGAGAGAGAGAGAGAGAGAGCCATCACCTGGTCAGATGCACATTGAAAAAAAGCTCCAATCTTTAATCATGTTTTAACATGTCCTAACTAAAGCATCTTGACTAGCACAATTGTAAATTCTACTGTAGATGGGACACAAACATTTCTTGCTTGTCATGTTGAACCCTAGGCTGCTTGCTAGAGTTAAACACAACTAGGAATGAGCACCCATGTCCTCTAATACTTGTGTAGTGTCTACACTATAATTTACAGTTGACTTGAGTACCACCTGTTAAAACATATCTACAAATTCCAGTGTAGACATACCTTAGGCGATGTTTAAACTAGGATAACAGATAGTGTCTAAAAATGTGTTAGCCAACATGTTTTAACTAACATATTTTAAACACTAGTGTGGACAACCCCTCAGATATTAACCATGACCAGCTAACACGTTTTAAAATGCCTTAAACCATGCCTGTAAGGCTGTAAGCAATGGGGACAAACAGGGGTTGGATTCTTAAAATTAACCAGTTTGCACAGACTCTACGGTATCCTGGAATTAACCAAATGCCATGGGTGATAGCCTAGAACTAAGCAAATTCTTTGGATTTAAGCCTAGAACTAAGTAAATGCAACGGGGTACAGCCTAGAGCCCAACAAATCCTTCAACAGCCCAGAGATAACGCAAGACGCGCATTATGCGCTACTAACCGCGCATTAGCGGCATTCACGGGCTCTCCGGAGCATGGCTGCCTTTGCTGGGCCACCGAGGCGCTGAAAAGCCCGGTGCCCCTGTGGGTGTGACCTGTAGCTTCCCTGGCTGGGGGGTGCCTTTGCTTTGCACAGTGCTCCCTTTGTGCACAAGGCGCGGGCAGCGTGGGAGGCCGGCATGCCCCGGCGATCCGCCCAGAGAGCAGCAAAGATCCCCGCTGCAGGAGCAGCAGCGCAAAGGCAGTGAAGGGTGAATAACCGCTTTTAAATGGGACTGTCACTTACTTATCCAGGACGAAGTAGAGATCGAAGGCCCCGTGACAGGAGCGCTGGTCGTCTCGCCCTTCCTCCTCCGGCTCCGCTTGGGCGCAGGACGCCAGGCTGCAAGTGGCCAGCAGGAAGGCGCAGAGGAAAGCCGCTTTCTCCACGCAACTCCCACGACTCGCCATTTTCTTCCTCAATCTCTGCCCCCCTCCCCCGCCCCGCAGCCCTCGGCGTCTGTCCAGAAGCAAAGGAAAAGTTCCCGATCTCCTCTCAAACATGCGCAGAACCTGATCTCGGCTCCCCCACCCCACTGGTCCATGCAAGGGCAGAGCTGCTGCTGGGGGTGGGGGAGATTTTTGTGTGGCAGCGGGGCTTGGATCCGGGTCCGGGCAGACGGTACCTAAAGCCCCATCCCCCCGCCCCGCGCTAACAGGCTCGGCTTGGTTGCTAGAGTAGTAACTCAGCCCCGATTTCCTGCGTGCCTCCTCCCATAGGGAGCGAACAGATTCGTAGGGAGGGGGAGACAGGATCTTATGGTGGGGAAGCGGAGCTGGGACTTTCCTGTTCCGGGCTCCAGAGCAGGGAAAGGAGAGCAAGGCTGCAAACTAGCAAGAGATGCCCCCCATCCCCCAACACACACACCCACCAAACACCAGAGCTATGCCCAGGGGTACAGCTCGGGTCTGCCTCGTCTCCCTCCCTGAGAGTCAGCTCTGGATTCGTTTGCTGGCAAATCTAGAAGTCTCTCCCTCTAGGCTTGTTGCAGCATCCCCCTTGCCGTCGGAGGCAGCTGGTTTTACAACCATGCTCCGTGTTTAGGGACCCTAAAGCAACTAGGACCGGTCACCGCTTTGCTATTTGTGGCGTGTCTGTCATGGGCACGGCCGGGGCTCCGTTCTGGAATCATGCAACAGGTAAAGGGCTAGGAGAAAGAATGGTAGCGATGTGTCTAGACCGCAGGCAAACGAACTGGAGTGATCTGTCTGGACCCCAGCACTGGGAACGGGTCGTGCAGAGAGGCTGTTGGCTCCACGGATGTTTACTCAGCTGCTGCCCTTTGTTTAAAGGGGAATCGATTTAATCAACACTGGTGCCACCCTCCCCAGTGTCATGAAAACAGTTCAGGCTCCTATCGAGCTATCGATTGTTTTTAAAGCGCTGCTTTTAAAACAATCCGGCTGGGCCGCAGATCGATTAGTCGCCCAAACGCCTCTGGTCAATAACAGTACACTCGTCCGCTCCCTAGCTGCTCATTACCCTCGGTGCCTCGCGGTTGCCAGTCGGGGAAAGAGTCCCCAGGGAGGCGGATGAGGGGGAACGTTTTACGTCCGGGAGGCAGCCTTGCGATTTCCGAAACATAACGAATCGGTGCCTCTTTCAGCCGCTGTTATCAAGCCACCTTGCCCGTGCCACACGCCTTTTCCATCCGCGTGCAAAGGAAAGTGCCCGCTTGCTGTTGTGCAGGTTGCTGCTTTCTCCCCGTCATGCCACCCCACGCTTAAACGTTTTCTTCTAATGATAAAAACGAACACACACCGAGAGACTTATGTATTGTGGGTGTTATACACGGGGGTGGATGGACGGTGTTGGTACGGTTCAAATAAATCACTGAGTTAAGATTTCTCCACACAACACACAGCCTGGACCTCTCCCACAAAAAATGCCCCTGAAAGAACTGGCCAAAGCCCGCATTCATCTGGATGCTGCATATGAAATCTGAATAATTAGCAGTTTCCAGCCGCCCATCTTCAAGCAGGGAACTAACTCTCCCCCAATCCCCCACCAGTCACAGTTCCTGAGAAGGGACCTGGTTAATGCCTAGAGCCACAGGGAAGGATGCGAGTAGTCACTTCGGATGAGAGAGCTGGGAACGGACATTGCTCTTTCTCTGTGGGGAAGGCTCACTTTCAGAGAGTGAACCCAGAGCGACCATAGGGGTTGGAAGGCAAATTGCTGCAATTATATTGTCCCAAAGACTCCTAGCCGGCCTCTCATCACAACCCCAAGAGAGATCGCTCCCCTTGCAGAGAGCAAAGTTCTTTCTGAGGACCAGGAGCGGGTCTGGTTGTTTCCCTGCTCTCAGTGACAAAGAGGAGTCTGGATCTGGAAAACGGGGTAAACAGTGAGGTGGCAAAATTTGCAGATGATAGAAAACTACTCAAGCTAGTTAAGTCCCAGGCAGACCCTGAAGAGTTCCAAAGGGATCTCACAAAACTGGATGACTGGGCAACAAATGGCAGATGAAATTCAGTGTTGATAAATGCAAAGTAATGCACCTTGCAAAACATAACCCCCTACATATAAAGTGGTGGGGTCTAAATTAGCTGTTACCGCTCCAGAAAGAGATCTTGGAGTCATTGTGGACAGTTCTCTGAAAACATCCACTCAATGTGCAGCAGCAGTGAAAAAAGCGAACAGAATGTTGGGAATCATTAAGAAAGGGATAGATAATAAGACAGAAAATATCATGTTGCCTCTCTATAAATCCATGGTACACCCACATCTTGAATTCTGGTCGCTCCATCTCAAAAAAGACATATTGGGATTGGAAAAAGTACAGAAAAAGGTAACAAAAATGATTAGGGGTATGGAACAGCTTCTATATGAGGAGAGATTAATAAGACTGGGACTTTTCAGCTTGGAAAAGAAACAACTAGGGAGGATATGATAGAGGTCTATAAAATCATGATTGGTATGGAGAAAGTAAATCATGAAGTGTTATTTGCTCCTTCTCATAACACAATGAAATTAATAGGCAGCAGGTTTAAAATAAACAAAAGGAAGTATTTCTCCACACAACACTCAGTCAACCTGTGGAACTCCTTGCCAGAGGATGTTGTGAAGGCCAAGACTATAACAGGGTTCAAAAAAGAACTAGATACATTCATGGAGAATAGGTCCATCAATGGCTATTAGCCAGGATTGGCAGGGATGGTGTCCCTAGACTCTGTTTGCCTGAAACAGGGAATGGGCAACAGGGGATGGATCACTTGATGATTACCTCTTCTGTTCATTCCCTCTGGGGCACCTGGCATTGACCAGTGTCAGAAGACAGGATGGTGGTCTAGATAGACCATTGGTCTGACCCAGTATGGCCTTTCCTAAGTTCCAAAGCAACCTTTTCACAGTGTCACATTAGCATCTCCTGTTCTGGGTCACACAACAGATAGCACCAGAGGCAAAGTTCTGAGCTGAAGTGTGCATTCAGGTGGGAATTAAATCCCTCTCAGTTGTAGCCTGATCCCTTGATGCTTGCCTCTTTAGTGCTGAAACTATCAGAAGGGCAGTCTGGTCCTCCCACCTCCAATCCTGTGGGATCCAAGGTAAAGATTCCTCTGATCTGGTGGGTTTTCAAACTTTTTTTCATTTGCAGACCCCTAAAAAATTTCAGATGGAGGTGTGGACCACTTTGGAAATCTTAGACACAGTCTTTGGACCCCCAGGGGTCCATGTAGACCACAGGTCAAAAACCACTGCTATAGGGAAGCTAAGCAGGGCGGGTTCCCTCTATGTCGTTGCTTGCTGTCTCAGTGTGCCGTCCACGTGTTTGTATGTGTGTGTGTTGGGGCCAGATTTGCCAGTGAATATATGAACCTGGTGTATGTCTGTGGCATGTGAATGTGTATGGATGTGCTGTGTTTGTGTACCTATGACTGCTGCCTCTATGCACCATTGTGTGTATTTCTGTGTGAGGTGCGTGGGTGCAAGAGAGTGTGTATATTTGCGGCTGACTGTGCCTATGGATAGGAAGCAGAAGATGTTTGGTGTGACCATGTGGGAGTGTGTGTTGTGTGTCTGTGCAGGTGTGTGTGTGTATATTTGTGTGTATGTATAGGGATGTGTGATGTGTGTGTGTGTTGCGTGTGTATGTGGGGTGTGCATGCAGGAGTGTTGTGTATGGTGTGCGTAGGAGTGTGTGTTGTGTCTCTGTCTGTATTTGGAAGGGTGTGTAGATGTAGTGCAGGGCTGGGCTTTGTGTATGTGTGGCGTGTGCAGGCATGTGTTGTGTGTACCGTGTTGTGTGTACCGTGTGCATGCGCAGGAGGTTGTGCTGTGTGTGTGCAGGACTCTGTGTTGTGTATGTGTGCTGTGTGACTGTGTCTGCATTTGGGGGTGTTATGTGCAGGAGTGTGTGTTGTGTGTGTGCAGGACTCTGTGCATATCTTGCCGTTCATGTGTTGTGCGTGTTGTGTGTCTGTATGTGGGGTGTAGCTGTGTATGTGTTCACATGGCACTGGCCGCCCCCTGCCGGCGGGTCCCGGGGCTCCGCAGCACTAGTTCTGCGCCGGGATGGCTACAGCCTCTCCCCAGCTTCCTGGCGGGCTGGCGCGGTCCGGCCCGGCCCGGCCCGGCCCGGCGCGGCCGGGCGGGGCAGAGAGGGAGAGAGCTAAGGCGGCGGGCGCCGGGCCCCTTCGCCAACAGCCGCAGCCCGGCCAGGCTGGGAGACGCGGCCAGCAAGTCACTTCACTGCCCAGATACAGGCTGGGGCTCGGGAACGTGGCGCCCCCGGCTCTGTTATCTCCCCCCCCCACAACTGTTCCTACACAACCCCCTCACAATAATGCCTCCACACAGCCCTCCCACTTACACCCCCCCAATACACACACAGCCCTCCCCATGTACACACAGCCTTCTCACACACACAGCCCTCCAGCAACACATGCAAAATACACAGCCTCCCCACCTATACCCATCCACCTACACACATGCAAATACACACACAACCCTCCCACCAACACACACAAAAATACACACACAACCCTCCCCATATACTCGCAGCCCTAGCCCTCCCACCTACACCTCCCCAAATACACATACAGCCCTCCCCATATACACACAGCCTTCTCACACACACAGCTCTCGCACCAACACATACAAAAATACACACACGGCCCTCCCACCTACACACAGAGAGACAGTCCTCACACCTACACATACACACAGCCTTTCTGCCTACACACACAAAATACACACATAGCTCTCCCATCTACACACACTCCCCTACACACACAGCCCTTCCACCTACACACCCCCACCAACACACACACACTGACAGATCTCACACCTACACTCAGCCTTTCTGCCTACACACACAAATACCACACACAGCCCTCCCACACAGACTTGCAGCCCTTCCCATTTACACAGACACACACAGCCTTCACATACACACAGTCTTTCCGCTTACCCACACACACACACCTGCAACACAAGCACACACATTCCCATGTACGCGGATAGGCAATCACACTCACATCTGGGCGCAGACGCACACCTCCCCTCTCTGCTGGGTAAGTTACTGCTAGAAAATCTTGAGCCAACGTTAAAGCTACAAGCAAACCGGCTCCGATTTCGTTTCACGTTTCCTCACTGGACCCAGTTCAGAAAATCAGACCGCCCTGGCTGTAGGCGGGTCAGCAAGAAAGAGGATCAAATGGTTTTAGTAGACAATGTGCTCGGTATAAACCATGCCCGTCGGAAGTTGAATGCACTGCGTGTGTTAACCACTTTTGCTGCCCTGGCCATTTCAGCCCCAATGGTTAACTTAGATCATGGAGATGGAAATAAAAGCAACCCACATCCTATATG